GGGGCGGGCCCCAGCCATTTAAATTTAAATGAAGCCGCGATTATTTTAATCGCGGCTTCATTTCCCTTTTCCGATCTGGCTAATCTACATGCCTCCGTCGAAGGAGGCATGTAGTCTAGACACACCCCTAGAGTCAGGAATCTGAGTGCTATTCCTGGTCTCCAGTTGACTTAACTACAGAACTGTGGGTAAATCATTTAGTTTCTCAGTGCCTCAGCTTTGCCATCTGTAAAAAGGGATAAAATAGTAGTTACTTGCCACACAGGAGTTTTGTGAGTCTTAATTCTCTAATGTTTATAAAGTGTAAAGAGCACTAAGCTCCCACAGGGAAAGTGCTGTGAGCTCTGTAGAATACATTTTGTATGAAATTGTTGGCTTTCAGATGACAACTTCTACTGTTCCAATGATTCTCTGTGTTCTACGTCACACTACCACTCTTCCCCCTTGCTGTCACAGCCACCGTCTTTCTGGCTGAGTATTCTGAACCAGACTCCCAGTCCCTTCTGACCTTGCCTCCTTTAATTAACCCAAGGGATTGTTGGTGAGCAATTGATTCATTCCTCCCAGAGCTAGTCCAGTCACAGCCAACTTGGTGAGTCAGGGTATGTCTACACAGCAACATTACTTTGAAATAATTAGCTTTATTTCAAAATAACTTAGTCTGCGTCTACACAGCAAGCATGTATTTCAAAATAATGTTGACATACTGTCAAGCTGGAGGACTTCTTCCTCTGACTCCTGCAACCATCATTGTACGAGGAGTAAGGGAAGTTGGAAGAAGAGTGCTCTATTTCGAAATAAGTGCTGTGTAGACGCTCCTAATTTCTAAATAAGTTATTTCGAAATAAGCTACGCGGTTGACATAGCTCAATTTACGTAGCTTATTTTGAGTCAAGCCCTGCTGTGTAGACACACCCTGAGTGAGATAGGGAATCAGACCCAGAGGGCTGAGTCCTTAGCTGGTGTAAATGAGCCTAGCTTCACTGAAGTCAATGGGGCCATATCTATTTACTTAAGCTAGGTTTTGCCCCATTGACTCCACCATGGTAGTTTGCGGGGCCAATCTCTATTTTTATAAGTAGGCTGAATATATTGACATGGATCTGTTTCACATTATGAATTAATTGAGTTTTGAGAGTATGCTTTCTAAATAATAAAGTAAAAGTTGATTGTAAACATGCAATACTTTTTCTACTCCCACCCCCTCATTTTATTCACTATGAATAAAAACTAGCAAAGAAGATTTTTGTAATGTTGAATTAAAGTCTTACAAACCAAGTTGCAGTTTGTGCAGAGGTTTGCAAACAAGATAAACTCCTGGTAACAGGGTTTTGTAAAGGCAAGCTGGATATATCACATCAGTACTGAGAAAGCCATATAATGGTAACTTATAAAGGACAAAATGCATTGGCATTGCGTTCTTTTGTTCCATTCTGATGTATAAATAATTCTTGAAAGGCTTTTTAATTTTTTTTTTTGCTTGTTTCTTAAAG